TGCATTTAAACAGCTGGTAAAGATGCCTTGTGGCTCCCACCCTGTTTATGTGTCAGAAGCCACAACATTTGCCATCATTTCGGAGCTTCTTTCTCTGATTTTATCACACCAACTTTAACTTCTATTTTTAGTGCTTTTATTCTAATATCTGGTCGGTGTTATTTATTTTTATTACTTTTATTCTGAAGATGGCCCCAAGGAAACTTTCATGTAGTTTTTATATTTTATGTAAGCTCCTGAGAGCTTTTTTTTTTTTTTACTGCAGCGGGATAGAAATGTGATCAATAAAATAAGGAGAAATGTCTCTTTGCTGCTAAGGAATTGGCTTAGTCCCTTTGTTGTGTTCTATGGAGCGGTTTGCTATAGATCATAATATTTAGAAAATGTTTGTTCCCTGATGTGGCAATTTTGATGAGTAAGATGGAGAGAAATATAAGCCTCATCCCCTGTACAAATCTCTGCTGGCACTCACCAAGATCAGCTCCCTGGTGATCGTATCTCTGTAATTGTAATGCAGTTACATAGCATCCAGATTATAATGTAGTTTTTCCCTGTCACAGGTGAGGCCAGTTTGTGACAAGTAGTGAGACATGATCTGGCAAGTTCTTTTCCCAGATATTTTTGTTTCAATTTGCAGGCCTGAAATTCTGAAATAGCGATGGAGGAGAATGAGTGCTTCTGCAGGCCTTCTATGCTTTGGATTTTACACACCTAGTGTTGTCTCGATCATTATTTTTTTCCATTTGGTTTGCATATTGGTCGTCAGCTTGGCTGTGCAACTATAACAGTAAGCACTATGTGTCTGCTGTTGTGTCTGACTTCTGTGCTCAGAGTAAATTATGCAGATTTCATAAATTGTCTCCAATATTCAAAGAAATTGTATTTTTTATAAAAAAACCATTGCCACAACAAAAAATAAGTGGTGAAAAGAATGCGAATAGAAATAAGTAAGGAATAATTGATGGGGTCATTTCATAGCAGATTGAAGGCAAAAGAAAACAATTGTATAGTTACTGGTTACCTCTTCGGAAACTGTTACTTGCAGTTATTGGTAAGACTTTAAATAAAAGTTCTCTCTATATCAGGGCTGGGCAATTAATTTTCCCAAGGGGCCACTTATGAAACTGGGAGTATTTTGGAGGGCCAAACCAGTAGGGCTGTGTAAGTGTGTAGGCATGCATGCACGTGCATACATACATTGAGAAGAAAAAGCCTTCAAAATAAAAGTAATACATGAGGGCCAGACAGGGACACCTAAAGACTGGGTGGGTCCTGGGGATCATAAACTACCCAGGTCTATTCTCTTCATTGGACTACTGTAATGTGATATACGTGTGCGTGCCTTTGGAGATGTCCCAAAAGCTACAGCTAATATAAAATACAGCAGCTAAATTACTGATTACCTGGTAGGAGTGTCTGTGAACATAGAAAAATGCCAATCCTAAAGTAAATACGTTCGTTGGTTTGGTTGGTTTATTATATAACCTTTTAATTGCCATTTGTTGCAGTATTAGGATATATCAGCCAATGCTTTATCAGAATAGAATATGGTGTGGACGTGAAAATGCTTCTTCCAAGATTTATGCCCAAGTGATAGGCCCGTGATGGCGAAACTATGGCACCCGTGCCACAGTTGGCATGCAGAGCCCTCTCTGAGAACACACCAGCTATTGCCCCAGGCCAACTCCACTGTGCATGTATGCATGCTTCCCGCTGCCCAGCTGCGCTTCATGTCTCTACCACGCATGTGCTGGAGGTGGGGCCTTCCCCAATCTTGGCAGGTTCTCTCCCCAGCGTGCTCTGTCTGCGCAGGTTCCCTCCTCCGCAGGTGCCTCTCCATGGCAGAAATGGAGGAGAAAAGTAAGACGGATTTGAGGGGGGGATATGTGGAGATCAGGGAAGGCATGGGTGGCAGAAATGCAGGAGAGAGCTAGGGTACACTGGGGGGAGAAACTGCAGAGATGAGGGAAGACATTGGCGGCAGAAATGCGGAAGAAAGTTAGGGCGCGCTGGGACAGAAACTGCGGAGATCAGGGAAGCTAAAACGGAGTGCAGAGATGCTGCACGAGG